AGACTTGGAGCCCAAGAGCGTGGAAGCCAGCCTAAGGAGTGAGCTTCTGAGATGCACCTGACAGTGCATCCCCGCACTGGTCTATGGGAGAATCCAGATGAGCTGAGAGCTTGTAAAGTGACCTTGTTTTCATTTCCAGGACCAGGTGTCAGGGCAGCAGGCACTTGATACAGACTTGAGGGTGTGACTGGAGCACAGGTGTGGGGAAGTGTCTTGAGTTGCATGGAGGAGGTCACCAGTGCCGGGTCGCTGCTGGCTTCTGCGCGTGTTGAAGTTGGGACAACTTGCATGACAGTCTGAAGCTGCAGGGGCAGTTGGGTGTTGGGCTGCAGGCAGCGTGCAAAGCAGACTCCAGTGGAGAGTGTAGGGAAGAAATCAGCAGAAAGTTCATCTGCAGAGCCTATGTTGCATCGGCCATAGTGGTGTCGGTGAGGTAGAGCTAGCTCAGTGAGGGAGCTGGCAGAGGCACAGGTCGTCTTCTGCCATCTCTACTGCAGTGATTATCCATGTACAGGTGAGCGGGGCTCCCAGACTGAAGAGGCACGGAGACACTGCCTTCTCTTGATGATGAGTGATGGTTTTAGGAGGGTCTGCATAATGCCAAAATTGATCAAATTTTGTGCAGTTTATTGTATATCAGCATATTTGAATGTTTTTATAAAAGATGGTCATTAGGGACCAGCACTGTGGTGTAGTAGTTGAGCGTCTGCCTGCAGTGCCGGCATCCCATATGGGCACTGGTTCAAGTCCCAGCTGCCCCCCTTCTAATCCAGCTCTCTGCTGTGGCCTGGGAAAGCAGCAGAAGATGGCTCAAGTGCTTGGGCCCTTGCACCCACATAGGGAGACCTGGAAGAAGCCCCTGGCTTTGGATCAGCCCAGCTGTGGCCATTTGGGGAGTGAACCAGCAGATGAATTTCTCTCTCTGTAGCGCTACTTCACAAATAAGTAATTTTAAAAAAGTTTGTTACCAAGAAAAAAAGCTGATCATTATTAATGCAGTTCTTAGTTTTTTTTTTTTTACACAGCTGTATTGATAAAAATTCACATACCATCCAACCCACTATTTACAGTGTACAATTTGGTGATTTTTAGTATGTTAACAAGTAGGTACAACCATTGTCCAGAGTTTTGAAATACTTTCATTAGCTTAAACAGAACAATTTAGAAATGGGTGTTTGTCAAAGTGATTAAGGCAATTTTTGGGATGCCCACATCCCTTAGCAGAGTACCTGGGTTCAAGTCCCAGCTCTGTTCCCACTCCTAGCTTCCTACTAATGCACACCCTGGGAGGCAGCAGGGAATGGCTCAAGTAGTAAGGTCCCTTCCACCTATGTGGGAGACATGGGCTGAGTTCTGGGCTGCTGGCTTCAGCTCTGGTCCACTCCCAGTTGTTGGGACATTTGAGTGAGCCAACGGTTGGGGGAGTGCTGTCTCTGTCTCTGTCTCCCCTCCTTGCCCCTGCCTTTCAAATAAAATTAAGAAAACAGAAATGTTTAGTTATTGACTTCAAGTATTAATCCACTTTCTGTCACTGTGGAATCTGCTATTCTGGACATTCTATGTGAATGGAAGCATTTGTGTTCCTTTGTGACCAGCTTCTTCCACCTGGCCTGTTAGTGTCCAGGGTCATCTGTGTTGTAGCTTATACTGCAACTTCCTTTTTGTGGCTGAATAACTTCCCGCTGTAGGAATTTACCCACCAGCAGCTGATGGATATTGGGTTGTCCACTTGGGCTGTTAGGAATGATCTTACAATCTTTTCATTTATTGTGTGATTCTTTGTTTCTGCATTTGCATTAAGTTTTAAAAGGGTGAACATTTGAGGATTTGAGCTCCCAAATACATAAAAGCGGGATTCTACCAAGACCTTTCCTCCATGGCTTCAGTTTGGTTTGGTACCTGCTCTCCCTTGTGGTTTTCTCCAAACACAGAGAAAAGTTATTCCAGCTTGAGTAAAGTGAATTCATTCAGGGAATGGAGGTTTGGGTTAGAGAGTTGTGGAGATGCTGGGCATGTGCAGTGGAGGTGGTTTTGGGTGTGTTGCCTTTCAAACAAGACTGCTTAAAAGAACTTGTGGCCAGCATAGATAAACGAGAGCCACAACGTTCCTGGAACAGAGAGGAGACAAGAACCCCGGGCTCAGCAGCTTCCATGGCTGCTAACAGGAACGCGGCTGCATTGCTGGGTGCAGGATGAGGCACGAGCGTTAGGCTTCCGCTTGGAGAATTCCGTGGGTTGGTTGGAAGAGGAATGGCACAGTGTGGCTGTCCTGCCTGATGGGAGAAGAGCTTATTCAGACACCTGATTAAATAGATTCCAAGTACATCCAAGGGAGCGTTTGCCCTGGCTCTGTTCAGACGTTTGGGGTTGGACCCTGTTGAGATTGAGGGAGCTTCTTAGGATCTAATGTCTTATGGCAGCCCTCCCTTTTTAACCCCTGAAACTTGGGACTCTGAGAACATCACCATCTGGGCTGGGCTCTGTCCGTGGTGTCTGTGCCGCCCCCTGGAGGTTGTGTTGCTGATTTGCTCACACCAGCTACTGAGACTGGTGCTGGACCTCTTTGTTGAAGGATTACTGGCTTTTTGTTTTTGTTTTGTTTTATAGTCAAGTTTAATTGAAGTAAAATTTGTAGGTGACAGAGTTCACCATTTTTAGTGTATTATATTACAGTTAGCTTTGTAGAGATTTTACAGACTAGATCATTGACAGTAAGTAGAATGTATTTTTAGGAATAGAATGTTTATGTAAACAATTTTCTCTTAAACATGTTAAATCCTAAACAATATTTGCAGGAAGGTTTTTTTTTTTTTTTAAGATTTATTTATTTACTTGAAAGGAGTTACACACAGAGAGAAGGAGAGGCAGAGAGAGGCGGAGAGGGAGGTTTTCCATCTGCTGGTTCACTCCCCAGGTGGCCGCAACGGCTGGAGCTGCTGTGCCAATCTGAAGCTAGGTGCTAGGAGCTTCCTCCAATTCTCCCACGCATGTGCAGGGGCCCAAGGACTTAGGCCCTCTTCCACCGCATTCCCAGGCCACAGCAGAGAGCTGGATTGGAAGTGGAGCAGCCAGGACTTGAACTGGCACCCATATGGGATGCCGGCATTGCATGCGGTGGCTTTACTAGCTACACCACAGCACTGGCCCCGGGTGTGTGTGTGTGTGTGTGTGTGTGTGTGTGTGTGTTTTTAATAAAGAAAGATTTATGTATTTGAAAGGCAGAATAATAGGGAGGGAGGGAAGGAGGGGGATGGTTGACTCCCCAAATGGTTGCAATGGCTGGAGCTGGGCTGCTCTGAAGCCAGGAGGTTCTCTCACATGAGTGCAGAGGCCCAAGTACTTGGGTCATCTTCCACTGCCTTTTCAGCCACGTTAGCAAGGAGCTGGATCGGAAGTAGAGTAGCCAGGACTTGAACTGGTGTCCATATGGGATTCTGGTGTCGTGGGCAGCAACTTTACCCACTATGCCACAATGCCGGCATCAGGAAGATTTTTGATGTATATTTCCACAATTTAAAAATAGTTTTTTAAAAAAGATTTATTTATTTGAAAGGCAGAGTTACAGACAGGGAGGGAGAAACAGAGACCTGAGAGATTGATCCTCCCCAGATGACTGCAACAGCTGGGCCAGGCCAGGCCTCAGCCAGGAGCCTGGAACTCCACCCGGATCGCCCACATGGGTGGCAGTGGCCCAGGAACTTGGGCCACTTTCCAATGCTTTTTCAGGTGCATTAGGAGGGAGCTGGATCTGAAGTGGAACAGCTAGGACTTGAACCAGAGCTCATGGGATGCTGGTGTTGCAGGCAGTGTCTTAACCTGTTGTGCCATAATGCCAGCTCCCAAAAGAGTTATTTTCATTTATTTGAAAGGCTGAGAGAGATTTTCAAGTTATTGCTTCATTTCCCAAATGCTCAATGATGGTTGGGGCTGGAGTGAGCCAAAGCTAGGAGTCTGGAACCCAATGTGGGTGGCAGGGACCCAACACTTGAGGCATCATGGCTGCCTCCCAGGTTGTGCATAAGATGGAGTTGGAATCAAGCCAGGACTTGAGCCTAGGCACTCCGGCACTCCAATGCGGGATGCAGGTGTCCCGAGTGGTGTCTGTCTGTCTGTCTCTCTCCCTCCCCCCCCCCCTCAAAGATTTATTTATTTGAGAGGCAGAGAGAGAGAGAGAGAGGTCTTCCATCTGCTGGTTCACTCCCCAAATGACTGCAATGGCTGGAACTGAGCCGATCCAAAGCCAGCAGCTAGGAGCTTCTTCCAGGTCTCCCACATGGGTTCAGAGGCTCAAGGACTTGGGCCACCCTATTCTGCTTTCCCAGGCCATAGCAGAGAGCTGGATCAGAAGTGGAGCAGCCAGGACTCAAAACCGGCGCCCAGGTGGGTTGCTGGCACTGTGGACGGCTTTACCCGCTGTGCCATAGCACTGACCCCCCAAGTGGCGTCTTAATTGCCATGCCAAATGATTTTCTTAAGGCTAAAAAAATTTATGATATCATTTGTGTATGTGTATGCTCTGTATAAATTTATTTTTAAAATATTTTAAAAATACGTTTATGGGGCCGGCGCCGCGGCTCAATAGGCTAATCCTCCGCCTTGCGGCGCCGGCACAGCAGGTTCTAGTCCCGGTCGGGGCGCCAGATTCTGTCCCGGTTGCCCCTCTTCCAGGCCAGCTCTCTGCTGTGGCCTGGGAGTGCAGTGGAGGATGGCCCAAATGCTTGGGCCCTGCACCCCATGGGAGACCAGGAGAAGCACCTGGCTCCTGCCATCGGATCAGCGCGGTGTGCCGGCCGTGGCGGCCATTGGAGGGTGAACCAGTGGCAAGGAAGACCTTTCTCTCTGTCTCTCTCTCTCTCACTGTCCACTCTGCCTGTCCAGTGCTTGAAAAAAAAAAAAACACAGATACAAACAAAGGGGTTTATGTATCGAGACAGAAAGAGCTGCCATCATTTGGTTCACTCCCCAAATGCCCACACCATGGAGGTTGGGCTGGCGTGGAGACGTGCACTGGGGACCTCCACCTGAGCCTCCCACACGGCAGAGAGGAACCCAATTATTTGACCAGTTATTTGCTTGCAGTGTCAGGAAGCTGGGAGCCGGCCAGAACCAGAGCCAGGACCGAAACTCAGGCACGCAGGTGGGGCACGAGCATCTCAACTGCTGAGTCCCATTCTACAGATGCAGCCAAAGTCTGGGCCAGCGGAGCTTGGAGAGCGTTAGCTTCATTTGCCCTGGTTGGTTTCGTCAGCCTGGTTGATAGATCACAGGTGTTTTAAGTTTTATGATGTTGTTTAAGGTGGTATAAGCCAAACCGTGGGAACTGATGCCTTTGATGACTGAACACGCTGCTTCTAGGAGTTCGGAACGAGGTTTATTTTAAACAAGTTGGTGATGACCCCTCCTCCACCACCACCCGCTACCCCCACCTTTCAGCCATCCAAGGTTGCTGAGAAGTGGTTTTTATGTATGTCAGAGCTAAATTGTGAATGGCAGGTGGCCTTTCCCGGTGCCTTAATGACTGAAGGTGGAATGAATTGAGATACTTTGTTAGCTTTCTTCTTTCATATAAGTATTGCAGATTATTCATTTTGGTCTAAAAGACAAACAAGTTGCTTTTTTTTTCCATTTTGAGGAATGAATGCTGTGCTTTTTCTTTATTTTTTTTTATTTATATATTTACTTGTTTTGAAAGAATTAGAGAAAGGGAGGAAGAGACACAGAAAGAGATCTTTGATCCTCTGGTTCACTCTCCAAATGGCTGCAACAGTTGGGCTGGGCCAGGTTGTAGCCAGGAGCTTCATCTGGGTCTCTCACGTGGGTGCAGGGGCCCAAACACTTGGGCCATCTTCCACTGCTTTCCCAGGCCATTAGCAGGGAGCTGGGTTCAGAAGTGGAGCAGCCAGGAAACTAATAGGCACCCATATGGGGTGTGTGCGTTGCAGATGGTGGCTTTACCTGCTATACCACAATGCCGGCCCTGTATTCTCTCTCTGTTTTTTTTAAAAAGATTTATTTTATTTATTTGAAAGAGTTACAGAGAGAGGTAGAGACAGAGAGAGAGGTCTTCCATCTGCTGGTTCACTCCCCAGATGGACACAACGGCCGGAGCTGCGCTGATCCAAAGCCAGGAGCTTTTTCTGGGTCTCCCACATGGGTGCAGGGGCCCAAGGACTTGGGCCATCTTCTACTGATTTCCCAGGCCATAGCAGAGAGCTGGATGGGAAGAGGAGCAGCCAGGACTCGAACCGGCACCCTATGGGAGGCCGGCGCTTCAGGCCAGGGCTTTCACCCACTGAGCCACAGCGCCGGCCCCTGTATTTTCTCTTTGGATGGTGTTTTTGAGAGGCTTTTGGTTTTTTGACCTTTATAAAATACGTCCTTGGGCAGCACAATATGCCAGACTCCCCTGTAGAACTGGCAAGTGCTTTGACAGACAGCAGAGTGTCCTTGGAAGTGTTGGCCTCCCTTGGGAGATACTGGAATGTCGTCTTGTGCCTGTGTATTCCTGGTGCTGGGGTAGAGCAGTGACCAAACACACACACACACACACTACTGGTAGGTGAGACAAATGAGTGGAATTTATGTTGTATCATTGAAGTGCTCAGAAGCAAATAGGATAAACTTTGATTTGATGGTGCTACTGGCACATGGCACTCAGCCTACCAAGTCAAAACTCAACAGTGGAAAGGGCATTCTGTTCACAAGTAGGTACTAACCTCACTTAAAAGATACAGTTCATCCACAGACAAATCTTGCGATGGGTTTCAAACTGGACCCAGTAGACAGAAGCCTGAAAGATACTGTACAAGAGGAAGATTGCTATAGAGAGGTTGCCTAACGTCTAGGAGGAGACTGTATGAAAATTTAGTGTGTTTCTTAGAAGTTGCTGTGGCCTGGACCAGAGAATGTTTTTAAGGGACGACCCTTCAGATTTTGCAGGTCAGTTGATGAGTAAGTGGTCGCTGTGTATTTACAGGTAGTTACTTTGAGTTTTCAAGAAAAGTTTGTTGTGGTTCTTGGAAGCTAAGGACAGCTGGGCTTGGTTTATGCTGATGAGACACACACCTGCAGTTACGATAAATTCATCATTGCTGTCTTAATTGCCTCTCCATTGGACTAGCATGCACCCTGTAGTAATGTGACTGCGGCAAAGATGGTGAAAACAGCTTCGAGTTACATGCCTTCCAAGCCAGCCGTGGACTCTCACGCGCTCACCTGTCGTGTGCCTTTTACGCTGCGTGTTCACAACCGCGTACATTCCCCCTCCCTTCAGGCCTCCAGGTTTCCCTCCACTCAACAGCCTGCCCACAGTAGCTTGCTCTGTTGACCCATTGGCCGTGCAAGGAAGTTCTTTGCAAAGGAACATCCTACAGATAAAGCTTGGGTTTCTTCACCTGGGAGTATTGTCGCACGTCTCCAGATGAGGAGGAAGGATGCTGGTGTGGCGTCTGTATGAGAGCCGCGCTGTTTCCTCCTGCAGCCCCAGGAACCACGTGGCTGTGGCTCTGATCGCTGCTACCTCCCGGCTGACTGAGGAAAGAGATTGAAGTCTGGGGTGCAGGGAAGGGCAGGAGAGAGCAGCCCGTCCGCGCACCCTGCCGGGCGTCTCCCCTTCCTTCTGCAGCCCAGAGCCCTGGATCTTTATGGTTTTCTTTCTTTTCCTTTACAATTACTTAGTGTTAAAACATGTTCCTGCCCTTGTTCGTAACTCAGGAAACTCAAAATTTTTGCTTTTCTCTCCCCCTCCTGATAGGTGCTGGATAGTTTACTAGTCCAGTATGGAGTGGTGGAGAGCTGTGAGCAAGGTACCTGTCTTCTGAATTGCTTTCAAATTTGGGAAAGGAAGGAAGTAGCAAGTGAACTAACTTTGATTCTCTTCGTTTTTCTCTTCCTCTAGTGAACACTGACTCGGAAACTGCAGTCGTAAATGTAACCTATTCCAGTAAGGACCAAGCTAGACAGTAAGCAGCCCGAAACTTTCTATCTATGTGTAATAACTAGGCTAAGTACAGTAACTAATGTTTTTGTGGATTTCTAAATTGGAGAAGGGCTGGTGGGTGGCCAAAAGAATCCTTACTTTGCAAAGTTGGACCGTGCAGTCCCCTTGCCTTTTACGTTTGAATGTCTAGTAAGAATCTGCATTGGCTGAAGTTGTGTTACATTTTCAGTGTATCTCAAATGCCAGCATTAGAGCAATCTCGCGTGGAGCTAAATTCTCTCCAGTTTGTGAGGAGCGCTGGGCCTAGGTGGTGTGGCCAGATTATATAAAGCCTCCCCACCCCATATGACACGTACATTATTGCTGGTTTGCCCAAAGCTGGTAAGTTGATCATGTGTTAAACTGACAACGGTGTTGAATGTTGTCTTGTTGCTCGTTGATTTCTTTCATGATTACTATTGTCATTGAGAAGTGTGCAGACATGGAGCAGTAAAGCCTTGTGAATAAGTATATTTCAACACGAAACAGTCTGCCTGAGGAAAAGCTAATTCTGTAGGCTTCAAATGATCTAATGAACAGAACAAGCACTAGAGAGAAAATCAGGATCCTGCAAATACTGCTTTTAACAGTTCTGCTCAGGTCACACGCCCAGCGGAACGGCGTCCGGCTCGCTCAAGGCACGGTGCTGAGTGTCCGCTGACTGTGGCAGTCTCAGCACCTCCAGGCGCAGCGGGGCAGGGACAGACGGCCCTCTGTGTGGGGAAGACGGAAGGCCAGCCCACACTGGCCAACGCTGAGCTCTAACTGGAAAACAGGCTATGAAATGGGACTTCAGCTGGGATGCCCACTGAGGAGAGGAAGATAAGACCAGAAGAGAGGGCCGGCGCCACGGCTCAATAGGTTAATCCTCCACCTAGCGGCACCGGCACACCAGGTTCTAGTCCCGGTCGGGGCACCGGATTCTGTCCCGGTTGCCCCTCTTCCAGGCCAGCTCTCTGCTGTGGCGCAGGAAGGCAGTGGAGGATGGCCCAAGTGCTTGGGTCCTGCACCCCATGGGAGACCAGGAGAAGCACCTGGCTCCTGGCTTCAGATCAGCGCGGTGCGCTGGCCGCAGCGTGCTGGCTGCGGCAGCCATTGGAGGGTGAACCAACGGCAAAGGAAGACCTTTCTCTCTCTCTCTCTCTCTCTCTCACTATCCACTCTGCCTATCAAAAAAAAAAACAAAAACAAAAAACAAAAAACCAGAAAGAGAGATGGAAATTTACATATGCAAGCAGAACCTTATTCTTAAAATTGGCGATAGTCACGTGGGTGGCAAGGATCCAGTTCCAGTGTCTTGTGCCGTCACCTCAGCCTTCCAGGATCTGCATTAGCAAGAAGCTGGAGTCAGGAGCCAGAGCCAGGAATCAAACGCAGGAGCCTGGATGTGAGACACAGGCATCATAATCAGTGTCTTAACCACTAGGCCAAATACCTGCCCCCATTTAGAAAAAAAAATTTTAACCAGTTTATATGAGGTGCTGGTGATTATAGAAATTGCAGTATGAGTTAAGACAAGTGGATTCTTTTTTTTTTTTTTTTTTTTTGACAGACAGAGTGGACAGTGAGAGAGAGAGACAGAGAGAAAGGTCTTCCTTTGCTGTTGGTTCACCCTTCAGTGGCTGCCGCGGCCAGCGCACTGCAGCTGGCGCACCGCGCTGATCTGAAGCCAGGAGCCAGGTACTTATCCTGGTCTCCCATGGGGTGCAGGGCCCAAGCACTTGGGCCATCCTCCACTGCACTCCCTGGCCACAGCAGAGAGCTGGCCTGGAAGAGGGGCAACCGGGACAGAATCCGGCGCCCTGACCGGGACTAGAACCTGGTGTGCCGGCACCGCAAGGCGGAGGATTAGCCTAGTAAGCCGTGGCGCTGGCCGTGGATGCATTCTACAAATTTTGTTCTTCACTTCAACCCTATCACGTGTGTCATAAAAGTAGGAGTAGTGAGAAAGCAGTGACTCCATTTGTTTTCCATGATTGACTTGTAGCAAAGAATCTATACAGCATTTTGCAGGGCCGAGTCCTTATAGGACGGAAAATAGGAAATGATATGAGAAGCTCAGGGTGTGGAGATTGCCATTTGAGGCTTCATGATAAAGGGGAAAGATGTTCCGCTCAGTGAACTGAGAGACTGCGTGTGGGAGATGTAGCCTACCTTTGAAGAGCACAAGATAGTTTATAGTGGGGACAAGGGGTGTGACAGCCCCTCCTCTTCAATACAATAAATCCAGATCATTGAGAGCACAGCCGTGAGAACAGTGGTCAAGGCAGAATCAATGCTGAAACTCACGTTTGTTGTCGTCTTAAAAATTATTTACAGTGATTGTTGCAGATTGGTAGAGTGCTATTGATCCAGAGGAGAGGGAGAAGCTGCTAGGAGTTAGGAAATGCAGGTAATTAGAGAACCTAAGCAAGTTGACTGTGAGTTTCAATTTAGGGAAGTCGTCGTCGCAGCCCTCATTCTAATATTGACTCTCTCATGTATTGAGTGTGATCTATCGACCGAACATTGCAGGTGAACATAAAGGCCGAGTGCCAGTCATCAGACATGCCTCCTGGTGGGGAAAAGAGGATCCACACAGGGCCTGCCTAATTTCAGGTCCAGCCCAAGTCAGGTTGTGTTACGAGAATATTTCTACCTGCCCATGAATTAGTTCCAAACCCTGAGGAGCATTAGAAAGCAACTGAGTATTTGGGAGCAAGTTTAGAATAGATCTGAGGATTGGATGACTTGATTTTGTGCTTAAAGTTATGAAAAGTATTGTCTAAGTTTTCTGGAACGTGTTTAGGAAAGGGATGGTGGAGTATGTTGTCATCCTGGGAGGATAATTCATCATCATCTTTTTTTTAAAGATTTATTTATGTATTCAAAAGTCAGAGTTACACAGAGAGAGGAGAGGCAAAGAGAGAGAGAGAGAGGTCTTCCATCCAATGGTTCACTCCCCAGTTGGCTGCAACAGCCGGAGCTGCGCCAATCCGAAGCCAGGAGCTGGGAGCTTCTTCCGGGTCTCCCACACGAGTCCAGGGGCCCAAGGACTTGGGCCATCTTCTACTGCTTTCCCAGGCCATAGCAGAGAGCTGGATAGGAAATGGAGCAGCCGGGTCTCGAACTGGCACCCATATGGAATGCCAGCGCTCCAGGCCAGGGCGTTAACCCGCTGCGCCACAGCGCTGGCCCCAGATAATTCATCTTCTTTGAGAGGCACTGGATGTGGTGGAGATGGTGGGTCTGGTGGTCCTGATTTGTAACCTTGTCCTTTCTGAACTTTAATTTTTATCAGCTTCAAAACAGGCCAGCCACGTGGCGCAGTGAGTTAAGCCACTCCTTGTAATGCTGGCATCCCACATGAGTGCCATTTTGAGTCCTGGCTGCTCCTCTTGTGATCTAGCTCCCTGTTAAAGCTCTGGGAAGGCATCAGAAGATGACCCAAGTGCTTAGACCTCTGCCACCCATGTGGGAGATTTGGATGTAGTTCTAACTCCTGGCTTTGGCCTGGACCAGCTCTGGTTATTGCATCATTTGGGGAGTGAACCAGTGGATGGAAGACCTCTGCCTCCAAATCTCTCACCCCTACCCTAGAGCTCTGCCTTTCAAAATAAACAGATCTTAAAAAGACATAAGCACTTGCATGCATATTTGCATATAGTTAGAGGAAATAATTTTACCTAATGGCCAGGCACATGGTTACCCAGAAAAGAGTGACTCTGGTTCCACCTGTTGGCTCCTGGCTGCTTTTGGAGCAGCTGCAAGTGCCTTGAACTGGAGCAGGCTGCTTGCCCCGAGACCCCTGAGCCCTGCCAGCCCGACTCTGTAATCATCGGCCGCCTACGCAGATGCCGTGTCATTACTCCACGCCCCTTTTCTTGGCATCCACCCAACGCTTGCATCTTAGGGATGAGGCTGCACTGGTGTTCCGAGTCAACCTCTTTTCTCTTAGCATCTGCTGCCTGGAAGACTGTGACTGGAGTGGGCCTGTGTGTGGTGAGAGTGGAGCCTGGGAGCTTAGAGGATGCATTTCAGGGCCTGGTGCCACAGGACAGACTCTGTGCTGCCCTTGTTCTAGCTGGGACTTGGGGCAAGATAATCTATCATGGTTCACCACCATCTTTAAAATGGGAATAATTATAGTTCTTAGCTCATGAGGCTACTGAAGAAGAAGTCAGATAATGCCTCCCAAACACTCACTGTAATACCTAGAAGAGCTCAAAAATGAGCCATTATGCATTTTTCCCAACATGCGTCATGGCAGCTGGGATACCTTGTTACTATTTAGGGATGAGTGGCCCCTGGGGAGCTAGGGACCAAGTTTAAAAGTGTGTGTTGCAGTTACTTGTTGCAGTTGCTTTGTTATATAAAGCTCCACAGTGCCACTTTTAAGACTCAAATAAGGCTGTCTCTAAGACAATGCAACGTGGACATTCTCACCACCGTGTGGCTAAGAATAATCGAAGGACAGCAGCACACACAGTATAGGAAATGCACGCATTTGATCAAAGCTTTAGGTCTCAAATGGCTAAATTCTTAAAATACTGAAATCACTAAAAATAATGAAAAGTTTTCAGGTTCTTAAAAGTAGGGGTCTGTGTATTTCAGGTCCTCTTGTCCCTCATGCTGGACAGGCTGGAGTCGCTGGCTCTCCTGCATCCTTACCGTGGGCGGATCTGTCCTGTGTGACGAGGAAGTGAGGACGTGCAAGCATGGAGTTCTTACTCTTTGCTTTGTTTAGGGCTCTGGTTTCTGCCATCCGCCTTGTGGGGACACGGCATGTTCACAGCGGGAACTGATTGCAGATCCCGTGCCATCAGCGGGAAGCTCTGTAGCAGGCTCTGGCCCTTAGGGTCAGAAGTGCTGGGAGCAACATGGCTGTGGCCAAGGGGAGGAAATCCCTATTTAAACTTTAAAAACTCAATGTAAATAGAAGGTTTATGATGTCAAAAGAAATAGATGAAGCAGCGAGACAAAGAAATTTCTTGCTGTTGAACCAGAGATAATGGTTACATCACTCTCTATATATATAGTTTTATAAACTTTGTCCCATGCATTTTAACATTTTTTAAAAATAGGCTTCACGAGTTTGTTATTGAACAAAATCACAAGTGTAGAGCATAGAGAAAGAGAAAACAGCACCTCCAGTGGACACATGCAGCTGTGCACACCATTTCAGCCTGGTCACGTGTGGCCTCCTGGGTGTCGTTCCTTACACACCCCGCTCGGCTCTTCTCCATCTCTTCCTGGAGCTGGACCTGACTTGACTCCCAGTCTCCGTCGGAGTCCGTTGGGGACTGGGTGATTTTGCTCTTGTCGGCCACCGGTCTCTCTGCTGGAGGTCCTGTGGAAAGACACGGCGAGCAGAGAGTCGCGACGGGAAGCAAAGGAGCTGGCCGGCCCCAGCTGTGTGCTGTTTCGTCAAACATGTTTGCACAGTTGATAATATCTACGTGGTTGTTCATCCTCACCGCAGTTTATAGTTTATGTATGCACTCCTCTGTCGTGCGTCTAGGGTGTGTACAAGTTTTTTGTTTTGTTTTTGAGATGCAGAGATAGAGGGAAAGAAAGAAAAGGAGAGCTTCTCCATCTGATTCACTCCCTAAATGCCCACAACAGCAAGGCTGGCCCAGGCTGATCCCAGGAGCCAGGAACTTAAGCCATGGTCTCTCGGGGTGGTGTGCATGAGCAGGAGACCCGGATTGAAAGTGGAGCTAGGACTCAAACCTAGGCACTCTGATGACGCAGGATCCTACCTGCTGCACCACATGCTTATCCTGATATTCTTATTTTACACCATAACGTGACAAGTGGTAGTTTTCAGTTTTATTTATTTACCAAAGAGAGAGCTCCCATCCACTGGTTCACTCCTCAGATGCCCACAATGGCCTAACAGATGGAAGCTGGGATCCAGGAATTCCATCTCGGTTTCCCACGTGGGTGGTAGAGGCCCAAGAACCTGAACCATCACCTACTGCCTCCAGGGTGTGTACCAACAGAGCTAGAATCCATCCAGAGCCAGAGACTTGAACTCCAGCACTCCAACATGGGATGAGGGCGTCCTGGCTAACTTAGCATCAGACGCCTGCCCCTGTGTAGTTTGTTTTGCTTTTAGAACTAGTTTAGTCATGGAATCCTCTGTAGGTAAATACTAGAACTTCTTCTCTCATTGCTTCCTTAAGATGCATACCTGCAGTGATTCACCAGGCTTTTCATGACTATTGCTGAGTGGCATGTGTCCACTTCGTTCTTGGCAATGAGAGCACTGGATTTATGTCACCTCGTTTTGTTGGGATTTATCACAGCAGAGACATCTGGGAATAAGAAAACGGGGATTTTAGACATGCAGTTCTGGAGTTGAGAGGGGACATTAAGTCTCACCTTCCACCTATACTGGTGAAGTGGTGATCGCCAGACTGGAAGATGACCTCATCGAGGCACCAGCCTGCTTCCTTGAGGCTGCACTAGGTGCTGGTCTCCAGTTGTCCCTGCTATTTCCTGCTTTTCAGATGTGTTGACCCTGGGGAGCTTTAACTTCTCTGTGTCTCCTTCTGTATTTCTCTCCCTGCCTCTCAACTTCAGGTTGATCCACTTTGCCTTCTCCACTGTGATTTTTTTTTTTTTTTTTTTTTTGACAGGCAGAGTGAACAGTGAGAGACAGAGACAAAGGTCTTCCTTTTCTGTTGGTTCACCCCCACAATGGCCGCTGTGGCTGGCGTGCTGCACTGACCCAAAGCCAGGTGCTTCTCCTGGTCTCCCATGTGGGTGCAGGGCCCAAGGACTTGGGCCATCCTCCACTGCACTCCCAGGCCACAGCAGAGAGCTGGACTGGAAGAGGAGCAACTGGGACAGAATCTGGCCCCCCAACCGGGATTAGAACCCGGGGTGCCGGTGCCGCAGGCGGAGGATTAGCCTAGTGAACCGTGGTGCCGGCTGACTGTGATCTATTTCAATACACCCATCAATACAATTAAGTGAACTAGCAAAGTAATTTGGCATCTTCTGAGTGACTTTAAAGAAATTTTATTTTATTTTTATTTGAAAGAGTTAGAGACCAAGAGAGGTCTTCCATCTGCTGGTTCATTCCCCAAATCTGCAACAGCCAGGGCTGGGCCTGGCTGAAGCCAGGAGCTTCTTCCAGGTCTCCCATGTGGGTGGTAGGAGCCCAACCACTCAGGTCATCTTCCACTGCTTTTCCCAGGCTGATAACAGGGAGCTGGGTTGGAAGTGGAACAGCCAAGACACGAACCATCAGCTGGAGGCAGTAGCTTTACCTGCTGCACTACATCGCTGGCCCCTGAGTGACTTAAAAGCATCAGAGCCAAGGGTCAAGTGAGGATGGGAGACAGGATCCTGAGTGACACGAGTGGGATAAACACCCTTGTGTCTGCTCCGTAATTATGGTAATGGTTGTCCATCAGGTCTTGTACAGTGAGTTTGCTGAACGTGTTAACATCATTCCTGCATGAACTCAGCAGACCGCCATATGACATGGCTGAATAACTGCGTGAGAGGTTTTGGCGGTAGGCCTAGCATCCATAAACTTAGGACCCTCAGTCGCGAGAAAAGCCGTTGCCTGGCAGTCAGCTGCTCCCCTGCCTTGTCGGTCGTGTCCGAGTCAGGAGCTCTGCACAGGTGGCAGTGAGACCATCCCGTGCACACAGTGGGGTTGTTTGCCCTCTGCCTGGCTCATCCTGCATTTGGAGCTCTTAGTACAGGGGGTACAGGAGTGCTCCGCCACCCAACCTCCTGAGCGAGAGACTCTGCTTTTCCCTCCAGTAACAGTCCTAGGGAAGCGGCACAATGAAGGTCAGAGTTAGAGCTTTTGCCAAGTTGAGCGGAGTTGCTTCTTGGGACACATGTGACTTTCTTGGGACAGTTCCAGAATACCTAGAATCATTTTGTAACTACGTGTTTGCTTCTTGTTCATCTCCATGGAGAAGGATGTTTCTGCATTTGCGTCTGTCTTCGCGAGAGGAGTGGCTTGTGTTTTTGGTAACATTGCTGACTTCATTTCATGAACGTTGGCTTGCTTCTGAGGCTAGCAGTGCTGCGATGGGAAAGGTTCTAAGGGAGCCTGTTTATGCCAGTAGATGCAGTGGATTCCTTCACTCGGTTCTGGTTTCCTCAGGGTTTTCAAGGAAACTTCAGTGATCTCTTTGCTTCTGACCTTCAAAAACTTGAAAGTCATGTTGAGTAATTGAAATTTCTACATCAGTTTTCTATAGTAAACACACAGCAACAACACCCATAACATTTCTTAGCTGTTGTTTTCCTTCAGCAAGATCCGTATGTGGGGGCCCTTCATCCACATTCTTTCAAGAAAAAAGAGGTGGAAAGCAAGGAACCATATGGGAAAATGGAATTGAAATTCATGCAGGGTTTTTATTTTTTATAATATGCATTTCCACAAATATTTTGAGGCTCCTCCTGGGAGGTTCTGTCATCGGAGCATTAGGAAGGTAAGTGTGGTCTGTGCCTGGGTCCACTCTGAGGACACGGAGACCACATGGGAACCTCCCAGGATGGGCTGCACTCCAGGGAAAGCAGCCACGTAGCAGTGTGCGCCACGCCCCCCGGTTCCGCTTCGGGCGGGAACTGGACACGTGTCTGTGTGTTTGTCAACACGGGAAGGACAGGTCGTGAGCAGAGCTAATGTGGTAGCAGCAGTTCTGGAAAGTGCTGGGGAGGATTGGTGCTGATGACAGCAACATCTTGTGAGATTTGTATTTCTGCCTGACTAGCATCCTTTTTTTTTTTTTTTTTTAATTTAGTTATTTGAAATAGTTATGGGCAGGGGAGCAGGAACAGAGATCTTCCATCTGCTCGCTGGCTCCCTCTCCTAGCGGCCTCAACAGCCAAAACTGGGACAGTCCAAAGCCAGGAGCCAGGAGCTTCTTCCAGGTCACCCACGTGGGTGCAGGGGCCCAAGCACTTGGGCCGTCTTCCATTGCTTTCCCAGGTGCATTAGTAGAGAGCTGAATCAGAAGTGGAGCATCCGGGACTTGAACTGGTGCCCATATGGGATGCTGGCATTGCAGAGGGCAGCCTTACCTGCTGTGCCACAGTGCTGGCCCCGACTGTCATCTTTTGCTGGAAGAAGAGTTGACTTCTGTGCTGGGGCCTGCAGGCTGTGGAGAAGGGGGTTGCAGTGAGAAAAGAGGGCAGAATTTGGAGTCTTGAGAACGGCAGTGAGCGGCCTTGGCTGCTGGCATACACCTGCCTTGCAATTCTGTGCTCTTGGTCTCTTTTTGATGCTGGGACTTCTCCTCCCCCATCTAAGTCAAGAATGAAAATAGATCTCCAAATAAGGGAGGTAGCGTGTAGCTGGAAATGCCCACAGTGCGTAACTAGAGAGAAACCAGTTTATGTCTATTCTAGTTTTCCTGCCTGGGCTGAACTTGGGTCTCTTGGAACAGAGTCTGAGGAGAGAACCGGAGTAGCAAGGGCTTGTTTTTTTGGGGGGTGGATGGGTACTGTGCACTGGGGAGTTATGATGGTGTGTATTCTTAGGAGGGTGTATATGTATGCCTATCTTCTCTACCAATTTATCGTCTACTTTTTTTAAATTGAAATTTTAATTTTTAAAACTTGAACAGAGGAAGAGAGAGCGCGAACGAGAATGAGCGAGTGTCCATCTGCTGGTTCACTCAAATGCCTGCAACAGCCAGGGCTGGGCCAGGCCAAAGCCAGGAGCTTGAAACTCCATCTGGGTATCCTACATGGGTGGCAGGGAGCCATGTGTTTGAGCCATCATCTGCTTTCCCTCAGGGTGTGCGTTAGCAGGAAGCTGAAGTCTGATTAAGAGCCAGGACTCAGCAGGCTCTCTGATAAGGGATACAGACATGTTGGGTGGCATCTTAACCAAGTACCTGCCCTGAGTTGCCCATTTCTTTTTTTTTATTTTTAAGTTTATTGAGAAATTTAAAAAGTACAAATAGAAATAAGTTCATTTGCATTAATATTGTTCAAAAAAATAGAACCAAAAGTAAATACACATTATCATATTTGTTTACACCTCTATCAGGACCTTCACAGTGACTTTCCTATTGAAACAATAAGAAGTTCAGCAGCAGCTTAGGGCATGGCAAAGAGAAAGCCACAGAACTCTTCTACCGCATTTATTCTTCTGCACCCTGTGAGGCTGTGCTCACCTGCTGTAGAGAGCCAGCTTCTCTAACCTGCGCACCAGCTGAGGGAGACTGGTCCCTGCCCTGGTGCACTGTCATTCAGTTCAAACCATGGTGCAGTTCCCAACTGGTAATTTTTAGAGATTGCAAACAAGGCTTTCTCTCTCTCTTTTTTTTTTTAAAGATGTATTTATTTATTTGAAAGGCAGAGTTATACAGAGACAGAGAGGTCTTCCATCCACTGGTTCACTCCCCAAATGGTTGCAACAGCTGGAGCTGAGCCACTCTGAAGCCAGGAGCCTCCTGCAGATTTCCCATGTGAGTGCAGAGGCACAGAGACGTGGGCCATCTCTGCTTTACCAGGCCATAGCAGAGAGCTGGATCAGAAGTGGAGCAACCAGAACTTGAAACAGCACCCATATGGGATGCCGGCTATGTCACAGCCCCAGCCCCAGCAAGGCTTTCTCTTGAAGTTGAACCAGAAACCATTTCTCCTATCCCTTGGGCTTTGTAACAGGTGCAGGAATAGATGGGTGTCGAGAATCTGGTCTCTACTGCACCATGACCAGCATATTCATCCACAATCCAGTATTGCAGGACTTTGTCATTAGGTGATTTTTTTTTTTTAAGATTTATTTATTTGAAGGCAGAGTTACAAAGAGAGGTAGAGAGAGACAGGTCTTCCATCCACAGGTTCATCTGCCCAAATGGCTGCAACGTCTGGAGCTGAGCCAATCAGGAGCCAGGAGCTTCTTGGTCTCCCACGTGAGTGCAAGGGCACAGGACTTGGACCATCCTCTGCTGCTTTCCCAGGCCATAGCAGAGAGCTGGATTGGAAGTGGAACAGCTGGGACTCACACCGGTGCCCATATGGGGTGCTGACGCTGCAGGCTGGGGCCACAGTGCCAGCTCCTTGTTAAGTGTTGAGTCCTTCAACTTTATCTTCCCCTGGATTCAGTTCCCTACCAGGTAATGTGAAGAAAGTTGTTCCCAGCTGTAGCAGTAACACACAGGGTAGCTGGTGCTTGTGCACACTCAGGGCTCCTTCTGCAGTGCTCCTCATTCCAGTTTTTGTCAAATTCCTCCCTCATGCACTGAAATGTGGCTGCAACATAACTGGCCTCAGAAAGAGGCTCTTTTGTGCCCAAAATGTGATCGGTGAGAGGATACGGGCTGTTGATGCACTCCAGGGTGGGGGCTGGGTCTGCTGGATGTACTTGCCACTGAGCTGGTTGACCCCCCCAGCGTCAGCAGGTCTGTGAGCGATTGGGCAGTACCACAGACTCATCAGAGGGCTCTGGCTCTGGTGGCGAGCGGAAATGGTGAGGCAAGGGAGATTTCTCCCCTGCAGCCCGCGCAGCAGCTGCCGCCCTCTTGTAAGACATGTGTGTAGTTGAAGTCAAACACCATTTGGGTGAGTCTTAGAAGAACTAAGGTGCCAGCCATGAGAGAATACAGAGCAGGTGTACTTAGGTGTGATTTTAGACAGGCACAGTGAATCGGTAGTGCTAGGGGAGGGGCGATCCCTGAGAGGCAACTCTGCAGCAGGCATGTTCTGGCCCTAGTTCTGGATGTGTGGTCACCTGGTGCAGTCACTGAGGTAGATAATGATGTTTGGGATTCTTTTCCTTATGTGTGTTGCAGTGAAGTTGAGAGATGGGGACAGGCAGCGAAGCTCTCCCTGAAGACTGGTGCTATGAGAATTGATGGATTAGAAGACAGATTCTCTCCCCTTTGTGTGGTTCATTGCCCTCCCTGCCTGCCTGCTTTCAGATCATACCATAAACCCCACAAGGCCCTGGGCCACTGTGTCAGGGACTGGCTCATAAGATAGTAAGATTTGGGGCCAGCACTGTGACATAGTGGGTAAAGCCGCTGCCTGCAGTTCTGGCATCACATATAGGGCTGGTTCGAGTCCTGGGTGCTCCACTTCCAAACCAGCTCTCTGCTATGGCCTGGGAAAGCAGTAGAAGGCGGCCCAAGTACTTGGGCCCCTGCACTCGCATGGGAGACCCAGAAGAAGCTCCTGGCTTCAGATTAGTGCAGCTCCAGCTGTTGCGGCCATTTGGGAAGTGAACCAGCAAATGGAAGACCTTTATCTCTCTCTCTCTTTGCCTCTTTGCCTCTCTTTTTCTCTCTGTATAACTCTGACTTTCAAGTAAATTAACAAATCTTAAGAAAAAAAACTAAAATTTTACTGAGTGATGGACTGTCCTGAGTATTAAATTCCACCAGTTTAGAGATACTTGTTGATGGTTTCCCAAATGTTTCAAACATCTTTTGAAACATTTGTATTGTTTTACATTTGTTCTTTTTTTTTCTTTTTTAAATTTTTTTTTTTTTTTTTTTGACAGGCAGAGTGGACAGTGAGAGAGAGAGAGAGACAGAGAGAAAGGTCTTCCTTTTGCCGTTGGTTCACCCTCCAATGGCCGCCGCAGCCAGAGCGCTGCGGCCGGCGCACCGCGCTGATCCGATGGCAGGGGCCAGGTACTTCTCCTGGTCTGCCATGGGGTGCAGGGCCCAAGCACTTGGGCCATCCTCCACTGTACTCCCTGGCCACAGCAGAGAGCTGGCCTGGAAGAGGGGCAACCGGGACAGAATCCGGCGCCCCGACCGGGACTAGAACCCAGTGTGCTGGCGCCACAAGGCGGAGGATTAGCCTAGTGAGCCGTGGCGCTGGCCAACATTTGCTCTAATTTATGATTTGTGTTAACCTAGAGGGTAAAGCGAGCATGCTGTATACTTCTGATGCCTCTTTTCTGTTCCACTTTGCAAAGACTAGCTGGGACAAGCCTGCGGGTTCATGTGGCGCCTACCGTTGGAGTATTTCTAAGCTGCTGCTGATCCCCGGGGTTAAACTCATTCAAGAGGATAACAGGATTTTTTTTTTTTTTTTGTCTTAAAGATTTATTTATTTGAAAAGCATAGTTATGGAAAGAGAGGAAAAGACAGATCTTCCATCCACTGGTTTACTCTCCAAACATTTGCAATGGCCAGGGCTGAGCCAGCTCAAAGCCAGCAGCTTCATCAGGGTCTTGCATGTGGGTACAAGGCCCGAGGCACCTGGGCGATAGTCTGCTGCTTCCCCTGGGTGTAATAGCAGGGAGCTGGATTGGAAATGGAGAAGCCAGGGTACAAACTGGCACCCATATGGCATGTGGGTGTTGCAGGTGGCAGCTTTAACCCGCAATGCCATAGCGCCGGTCCCAACAGAATGATTTTTTATAACTTTGTATTTTTCCTTTGTAGATGGCAAATATGTTCCATTTGGAACCTGCTGGGTCCCCCTTCTCCCCCACCCCACGTGGACTTCAAAGGAAAAGTGGGGGATCGGGTTGGGAGAGCTGTGTTTGCTCCCTGGGTAGGGGCTTTATTCAGAAGTCTGAGAGACTGTAATCCCGAGTGGAAGAGGTGGGTGTTCCTTGGCTAATAAAAGGGTGAGTACTTGGCTCAGCTTTTCTTCCCGCCTCCTGCCCCTGTCAACTTTCAGAGCCTTGGACAAACTGAATGGCTTCCAGCTGGAGAACTTCACCTTGAAAGTAGCCTACATCCCCGATGAGATGGCCACGCCACAGAACCTCCTGCAGCAGCCGCGAGGCCGCCGGGGACTTGGTCAGAGGGGCTCATCCAGGCAGGGGTCCCCGGGATCAGCGTCCAAACAGAAACCCTGCGACCTGCCCCTACGCCTGCTGGTGCCTACCCAGTTTGTTGGAGCCATCATAGGAAAAGAAGGCGCCACCATTCGGAACATCACCAAGCAGACCCAGTCTAAGTGAGTGTTCCCGGGTGGGGTGGCTGTCGGCATCGCCCCGCGAGTCTGAGTGACGGGGTGTGTTCCTGTACCTGGTGCTCTTCTGTGACCCTCCTTGTGATTTGATGTCTTAGGCATTTTGTACAGATCTGGGGCTAGACCTTAACCTCCAAGAGAACCTTAGATTTCCAAATGAAACACGCCTCACCCGGGTCTGGTGGGGGAGGCCCAGGCAGACAAAGGGCAGCTGCTAGATTGTTCTCTGCCTCATTTCCCCCCAGCCTCACAGGCAGTCAGTGCTTTTCGAGGTGACGTTCTGAGTTCCGTCCATTTCATCCGTGGCCTGCACACAGAGAGGGTTTGTCAGTAAGAGCTGCTCATCGGGTGGTCCAGGCTTATCCTGTGATTGAGCTGTTAGAACAGCTTTCTCCTGAAGATGATGCTGGATAGTTTTAATTGGCAGGTTTTAAGGCTCTGGAAGATTCCCATGCAGACTTTCGAGGTAGTTTTCCAGAAGTGGCAATGAGGAGCCACAGCGATCAGCTGACAGTTGGAAGGCTCTTGGGTTTGTCACATGAGTGCAGATACTATCCACAATTGTGTCGGAAACCCTCGGCGCATATGAAGGAATTTCATAAAAGCTCTTGAAAAATGGAATTAAAAGCTAAGCTTATCTTCATGCAAAAGCTTTTTTTTTTTTTAAGCTTGAAAGGCAGAGTGACAGAGATGTTCCATTGACTGGTTCATTCTCTAAATGCCGGCCATTGCCAGGGCTGGGTCAGACCAACATCAGGAGCTGGGAACTACGTCTGGTGACTGCTTGGGCTATCACCTGCTGTCCCCCAGGCGAATTAGCAGGGAGCTGCATCAGAGGCAGGGGAGCCTGGACTTGGATCAGAAATTCTGATTGATGTCCTGAGTGGCAGCTTAACCCACTGCACTGTAGCACCAGCCCCTCATGGAGAGCTTTTGATATCCATGCATAGTCTTTTTGTAACACATTTTCCTGAACCTTCTGAAGACTTTACCCCCTACCATACATGGATTTCAATTTTTTTTTTTTTTTGCACCAAAGTAAATGTATTTTAATTACATATTCTGCTAACTTTTTGAAGTACCCTCTTATTGAAGATAGCTTCTCAATTTGGGAGCACCAGTGCGTTATATGTTAGTTGTTTTGCTTTCCACATGACACTGTTGGGTGGTATGTGCATATTCTCACCCAAAGCAGCCTAAACATGAAGCACTCCCCACCCCCAGCTCCGTCAAGTGCCACCAGGCACATCTGTGGCCTCTTCCGGCCATACTTCCTGGACCTCTGGGTATGGTGGGAGAAACGGTTGTGTGCAGCCAGCGATGGCTGCATTACTTGGCTTCTTGCATTGCGCAAGAATGAGTTCATTGTACATGTCCCAAGGAATCCACTGTGATCTTCCTCTGCAGGTAGGCCTGCAGCACTACACCTTGCTCACGCGTTTGCCCCAGCAGGCATAAGTGGACTTCTGCATTCACCCTAGGCAGCACGCCTGCCTTGAGCCAGCTGCCTCCTGTCTCATGCAGGTGGCTTCACGCCCATGACCCCTGCAGTGACCTCCAATCCTAACTTTCCTCTGTTGGGAGCCACAGGGTGCTGCTCACCTGTGTGTGAGCTGAATGCTGCAGACCTCATAATCAGGGTGGGGAGGGCAGCTGAACCATAACCTCCTTCCCTTTGCCTGCCTTTAATCTCAGACTTGAAGGGCTGCCTGCTTCCCTTGGTCTGCGGTGACCTGCGGAAACGCAGCACGTGGTTGCCCTCCCTTGTCATGCGGCAGATCAGTCCTTTCTCAAGCCACTCGCTTCCTTGTTGGGGGAAAGAGCTGTGCTTGCAGCCGAACCATGTGTTTTACTTGAGGAGGAAGCAGCTTCTGTTTCACCCAGTGATTGATCTGCAGAGCCCTGCCGGCAGATTTAATTGCCCCTTGCCGCCGAAAGCAGTCATTATCAGAAATCTGTTACTGGAGTGGTCCCTGAGGGCCACCCTCATCCCCAAGGCAGCCAAGCATGCTCTCTGGGGATCAGGGTTTCATGTTCTGTCCCATGGTGTTTCCAAGACACTGGTAATACTGTCCCAGTTGGAGATTGAAACAGTGGCAGGGAAGAAGGTTCCTGAGATTGGGACTGTTGTTCAAGACATATTTTTTAATTAATTTATTTTATTTCTTTGGAAGGCAGAGTTAGAGTGGGAGAGAGATCTTCCATCTGCTCGTTCACTCCCCAAATGGCCACAATGGCCAGAGGTGGGCCAGGGGAAAGCCAGGAGCTCCATGTGTGCTGCTTACTCAGGCACGTCAGCAGGAAGCTGGATGGGAATGGAGCAGCCAGGTCTTGCACCGGTGCTCATGTGCCACAACGCCGGCACCCCTAACAATTTTTTAACAAACTGTGTCCAGATAGCCCTCCCTATTTTTGTTCCTATGTTGCCCTGATTTTGAGTTTTGTTTTTTTTTTTTTTTTTTAACTTTATTTTATTTATTTGAAAGGCATGGTATACCACAGCACTGGACCCTAGACCTGGATTTTATTGGCACAATGAAGTGGTCATTATCACAGCCATGAGTTACGTCACTCCTTATCTTGCAGTGTTTGGCCAAAAGGACACAATAAGTGGCTAATTGAACCTGCACACCCATTTCGGGTGGTTAATGGTCTTTCTTAGGCTATTCAAACAACAGCAGACTTACTCTGTATTTGATTCCAAATGTACAAATATACAAACGAAAGATAAGAGAGACCATTCAGCTCACCCTGTGAGGTGGCCTTTGTTAAGCTGGGAATGTATCAGTATGGGAGTGGTTCCTAGCATCTACTGTAACTCACATAAAAGAAATCCCAGCATGATACAGAGTGCGTTTTTTCTCTTAAGATCGAGGGCGTCTTGGGACCTGCTGTGCTGGCATCCCATATGGGCGCCGATTTGAGTCCTGCCGGCTTCACTTCTGATCCAGCTCCCTGCTATGGCCTAGGAAAGCAGTGGAAGATGGCCTAAGTACTTGGGCCCTGCACCCACATAGGAGACCTGGAAGAAGCTCCTGGATCCTGGCTTCAGATCAACCCAGCTCTGGCCATTGCAACCATTTGGGGAGTGAACTGGCAGGCAGATGGAAGACCTTTCTCACTCTCTGCCTCTGCCTCTCTGTAACTCTGCCTTTCAAATAAATAAATCTTAAAAAAGGTCAAAGGCCTCTTAGCATGTTAGTACCTATACTTTTACTACATTTAAAAAATACTTATTTATTTGAATGTCAGAGTTACACAGAGAGAAGGGGGGTGGTGGGGGTCTTCCATCTGCTGGTTCACTGCCCACTTGGCCACAGTGGCTGGAGCTGTGCCAGTCTGAAACCAGGAGCCAAGAGCTTCTTCTGGGTCTCCCACGTGAGTGCAGGGGCCCAAGGACTTGGGCCATCTTCTAGTGCTCTCCCAGGTCATAGCAGAGAGCTGGATTGGAAGTGGAGCAGCCAGGACTTGAACTGGCATCTATATGGGATGCCAGCACCGTAGGCAGTAGCTTTACCTGCTGTGCCACAGCGCCGGCCCCATTTTTACCACATTTTAAAAATCGGTTGTATGGTATAGACATGTTGATAACTTCCTGATAGCCATTTTGAAGGGTATTCCTAAAAATTTTTTTTAAAGATTTATTTATTTAAAAGGCAGAGTCCTGGGGGGGGAGGGGGTAGGCGGAGAAACAATGCACTTCATCTTCTGGTTCATTCCCCAGATGGTTATAACTGCTAGCACTGGACCAGACCTCAGGGGCCCAGGAGCTTCTTCCAGGTCTCCCACTCTCGCGCCATCTCCCACTGCTTTCCCAGGCCAGTAGCAGGTAGCTTAATTGGAAGTGGAGCAGCCAGGACTCAAACCAGTGCTCATGTGGGATGCTGGCATCACAGGCAGCATCTTTGCCCATGAAGCCACAGCATCAGCCCCCAATTTCTTTTCAGTCACAAATAGTGCCAGAGCAAACATTGCTGGGCCAGTGATTCTCATCCAGGGGCAATTCCAGCCCCCCACCGCACCCCTGGCTGGTGCACATCTGGCTTTGTCTGGAGGCATCTTGGTTGTCACAGCTAGCCAAGGGGTGTGCTGTTGGCATCAAGTGGGTAGGGACCAGAGATGGTGCTGAACATCTCAGGATACGGGGCAGCCCATGCACCCCAAAGAAGGAATCTGGGCCAGGACGTCAACAGTGCTGAGGCAGAAAACCACCCTTCCCGGCTCATCTGTGAGACTTGTCGGGTCTTAGGAGATACTGCGGGAATTCTTGGGTCAGAGGACATAGGCCTGCCAGTTTGCTCTACACCTGCCACCAAAAGTGAGTGCGTACCCCATTTCCCATCCCCTCACCACTGCTTGATTTTGTCTGAAAGTATTTGCAGGTCTGGAAGAAAATGACATCTTGTTTTAAGTGGCAGGAGCATAATTAGCGGGAAGGTTGGACCTCATTTTGAATTTACTGGTCATTGGCTTTCCTTCAAACCAGGGTTGCCATCCTCTGGGTTTTGTTCCTGCCCCTGCTCACTGCAGACTTCTTCTGTCAAGTAGGCAGATGGTAGGAAGGGCCCTGGAGCAGGGAAGCAGCTGCGAGAAGTCTGCGCGGATGCCCAGCAGTGGTCACGCCCACCGCCTGAGCGGTCAGCCTGGCTGCTGGGACTTCTCCCGCTCTCGTGGCCGCACCCCAGTGCCTGCTGGTTCTAGGGCAGGAGAAAGCCTTTGTGGGAAGCCAGGTGCTTCGCCGTGTGGTGCTTGCTCCGTGGCATCTAAACGGAAGCTCTCGTCACAGCCAGCTTGGGCAGCCTGAAACCAGGCTGCAGTTTGCCCCAAAGGCGTCGGAGTTGCCGGCCCCTCGGCACTGTGTGCCTGCCCGGGAAGCCCTGACACGCCGCCGTGTGCACAGGCCCTCACACCTCTCGTTTGCCTCTTCCACCTTCAGAATTGACGTGCACCGCAAGGAGAACGCGGGGGCCGCCGAGAAGTCCATCACGATCCTCTCCACCCCCGAGGGCACCTCTGCGGCTTGCAAGTCGATTCTGGAGATCATGCATAAGGAAGCTCAAGACACAAAATTGTGAGTAGGGAGAGCCCTAACCCAGGGCGCAGCAGGATGCTCGCGGGTGGGATCCCGGGGTCTGACGGTGCTTGGGGGGAATTGCCAGCCGGCAAAGGGCAGTGCTCCGATGACTGCTGTTGGTTGGTACCACTGATCTTCTTTTCTTTTTAAAAAATTTTATTTAAGTCATACAGGTTTCATGTATTGCATATATGCAGATTGAGGAACATAGTGACCCTCGCTCCCACATTCCCACTCTTAATCTTGACTAAGATCTATTAACAGCTTACTTAATGATCATATAGTTAACCCTGCATTAAGTAAAAGAGTTCAACAAATAGTATGGGGTGGGGGGGACACTTTTCCTCAATGGAAGAGACAGGGCTGTAACAACCCTCGAATCTCAAAGATGTCGATTTCACTCCAGTACATTACGTTTCAGATAGGAGCTTACATCTTGTAAATATTCAAATGTTTTATCTTACCTTTGGATACGGGGCAAGTGGTGCTGGTAAAGTCCAGCAGTAGAAGCAGCAGTTGGGGCACAAAGGAAGCCCAGCGGGGACCAGAGGTGTCTAAGGATTTACCCGAGACAGGGCTGCAGAGCCTCTGTGGACCTGTACCCAGAGCCCACTGGAGCTCACTTCTTGGCCTGGGCAGCCAGGCGTGTAGAGGTGAGAAGGCATCTGCTTCTGTGCTCAGTGACTTCATGTTTGGGTGTTGTATGCTGGAGCTCCCAATGACTGTTCCACAGGAATTCCGAGTGGGAGTTGAGCCCTGTGCCACCGTCAGTGGACAGAACAGAGATAGATTGAAAATGGAATCCAGAATAAAGATGGCACTGCAGCTCCCCTGGGGACCTCGTCCCAGTATTGGTAGAGAGCTTTGCTAGTTCTGGTTACGGGTGCTGAACTCGAATGTGGGTCCTGTGTTGAAAGAATGTAGCTGTGTTTTAGGATAGAGGAGAAGAAAAGCCCACTGTGTGATAACCTTGATGGCACTGGGAAACGACTGTGGGGAGGCGACAGGGAGTTCGGAAAGGTGCAAGCCCCCCGCCCCCAAGTATCAGCGCTGTTGAGTGTGCTGTGTTTGTTTCTGTAAACGATGCGTGCATCTCCAAGTCTGTATTTTCATATGTATGCTCGGATTTTATTCTTGGGCATTTGTATCTTGTGTTTAGTTGGAGGGTTTAGGAATATGGATTTGAGTCAGAAAATCCATCCTTGAACATGGGTAGTCCCTGGAATGAATAAAATACGATCTGTATTAAAAATTAACTTGTGTCCAAATACTCGACTGTGTTTTTTATTCCCTCTTTCCATGCATTGCTCGAATGTAGGCTAATTGTCTAATAGTGCTTCCCACATGGTAGCTAAGAAATAAATGTTTGATGAGTGAATATTGTGTTTTGACCCAAGTGGGTTTACTTTTTTTGTGACTCTATTTTTTTTTGTTTTGTTTTTTGTTTACAGCACAGAAGAGATCCCCTTGAAGATTTTAGCCCATAATAACTTTGTAGGCCGTCTTATTGGTAAAGAAGGAAGAAACCTTAAAAAAATTGAGCAAGACACAGACACTAAAATTACAATATCTCCGTGAGTGTTCCCTTGCTTTGGGATTAGAATTGAGACACACTGTTCTGCGTGTTTTACATCAGCTCGGCATCTCCCAGCCGCCAGGCTGCTTGGGTTAGCGAGCACTACCATGGCTACACCTTTCACCCAGCTCAGTCTGCTAACCTGTATTGACAGCATTGTCTACTCTCATGAAATTTGCAGGATGAACTAGAGTTTTCCACTGGTATTTTCTAGCTGAAGCCTTGACTGCTTTTTTGGCCAAAGTTGGAAGATACAGCAGTGTGGTACCCATTGCTGTGTAGCACAGTTGCAGACGGTGGTGGTCATGTATTGTTCAGCTCCTTTCTGGGGGTCTGTGCAGCCTGGATGGTTCCACTGGGCATCTCATCCTGCCGCTGCCAAGTCAATGCTGGCTGGGGGTGGGCAGCTGAAGCGCCTTACCACGCGGGCCTCCACAGAGCTGCTTGGAAGTCCGTGAGACACAGCGGCTGTCTGCTCCCGGGGTGAACGAGTCAAGAGAGTGAGGTGGACGCCGCAGCGTCTTACATTACATGGCTTCCGAATCAGCACTTCATTTTTCTAATGTGAGGGGTCTAATGTGAGAAATCCATGGGAAATGCATGATTGTACAAAAGATTGATTTATTGGTTTTGAAAGGCAGAGTTACGGGGGTGAGGGAGGGTGAGGGAGTGAGAGAGTGTGTTTCCATCCGCTGGTTCACTCTCCAGATGACCACAATGGCCAGGGCTGGACCAGGCTAACCTGGGAGCCAGGAGCTTCATCCAGGTCCCCCACATGGGTGCCGGGGCCCAAGCTCTTGGGTCATCTGTTGCTGCTTTCCCACACGCATTAGCAGGGGGTGGGTCGGAAGTGGAACAACTGGGACACAAACCCGTGCCCATAGGGGTGTGACGAGCGGTGGCTTTACCTGCTGAACCACAACACCTGCCCCTACCAAAAGAAACTTTTGACTCCATTCGCCATGAACTTTTTGAAGTTCCTATCTGAATTTTGTACTTACAAAGGGGAGGGCTTAAAAGGAAAAAAAAAAAAACAATCTTACAGGCTGTTCCAGAACTAGCCACTACATAAAATATTGTGCTGTGTTTGGTGTCTGTGGGACTCAGAGATAATTTTGGGAAGGCAGACTCCCCCACCTGGAGTCCTTGGAAGTTCCCAAAGTGCAAAGCAGAGTTTTTCTGGATCATGAAAACGCTTAAATGGTAAAGAAGTAAGGGGCCGGCACTGTGGCTCACTTGGTTAATCCTCCACCTGCGGCGCCAGCATCCCATATGGGCGCCGGGTTCTAGTCCCAGCTGCCCCTCTTCCAGTCGAGCTCTCTGCTGTGGCCCGGGAGTGCAGTGGAGGATGGCCAAGTGCTTGGGCCCTGCACCCGCATGGGAAACCAGGAAGAAGCACCTGGCTCCTGGCTTTGGATTGGTGCAGCGCTGGCCGTGGTGGCCATTTGGGGAGTGAGCTAGATAAGATAAATCTTTACAAAGACAATGGCAACAACAAAAACCGGGGGCTTGAGGAACCCTGTGCATCCAGTAACGTTTATTGAGAATCCGGAGGGAGGTACTTGGTGCTCTCCCGAAGCTTCTGCTTAGCTTGGTGCACTTTAGGCCTTCCTCATCTCCCGTCAGGTCTGCACGGCTGCGGTCATGTGTTGCCAGCCTCCACGGTCTGGGTTTTGTTGCTGTCTGTGGCTGATTTGTCAACCGTCATCATCCTGTGATTCCCATTCTGTTTTCTTTCCCCCTCTTCCACCTGCAGATTGCAGGAACTGACGCTGTACAACCCGGAACGCACCATCACAGTCAAAGGCAGCGTGGAGACGTGTGCCAAAGCCGAGGAGGAGATCATGAAGAAAATCAGGGAGTCCTACGAAAACGACATCGCCTCCATGAACGTCAGTGTCCATGCAGAGGGCGTTTCTTTGGTGCAGGGTTAGGGGTGCTGTGAAGTGTCCTAGAATTGATTTCTTGAGCGGTGACATAGTTTGAAGTCATGTTAATTGACTTTTAGTCCCTTAGCAAGTACCCTGGGATAGCAAGAAAGACACGGACTTGGCCAATTCTGCAAATTATCCTGTCTCTGTGCCTTAACTTGTGTATTTATGGGGAGGGCTGATACGCACCTACAACAGCGTAGTACCTCCCTCAAAATGTTACTCTGAAAGTTTAGTAGATCGGAATGTGGGCTTTAGAGGTGAGTGAGCTGCGTTTGATTGTCTGTTCATCCGTTTATGAGTTGACAGTTGACTCGGTCTCTCTGAGCCTCAGTCTCTCTGAGCCTCAGTCTCTACATCTGCGAATTGGGCCTTTGGCCTGCCTTGAAGCCTTTTCTGATTTCAGCAGACATAAAGCATATCAAGTTGTTACCAGGAATACAAAGTTAAAACTTGGAAACTCACATGAAGTTCAGAGACAGAAGAATTTTCAAATGACAGTAGTGTGTCCAAGGGTATGAAGGCCAATTGGTGATATGCCTTAATAGATGGGATGTTGCTTTAAATTGAACACCTGGATAATCCATCTTAAGTTTTGTTACGGTGTATTTAGTTATTTGAAAGAATGGTAGGGAGGAGTGGGGGAGAGAGAGATCTTCGAACCAGTTCACTCCCCAATTGGCCACAAGAGCTGGGGCTGGGCCAGGAGTCTGGAACTCCATCCGGACCTCCTGCCTAGGTGGCAGGGGCCCCAGCCCTTGGGCCATCTGCTGCTGCCTTCTCAGGAAGTGGCGTAAGCAGACCAGGGGAGTGACCGTACCTGCAGTGCACAACAAGAGTGCCAACCCCCTTTTTCAGTTTTGACGCGGGTGATTTAACACCACTCTGGAGCTGGGCGGGCGAGCCTCGGCCGGCAGTGCCGCTGTCCCCTCGCAGGGCGGTCCCCACCTGGGCGGGTGGCAATAAGGGCTCTTTTTACCCTTGCAGCTGCAAGCACATTTAATCCCGGGCCTGAATCTGAACGCCTTGGGTCTGTTCCCGCCCACGCCAGGGATGCCGCCGCCCACCCCTGGGCCCCCGTCCGCCATGGCGCCGCCCTACCCGCCCCTGGAGGTAAGAGCGGGGAGGGGGGCGGGCGTTTGCGAAGGCTTCCTCTTTGTCACCCAGGGACGTGTTTCCCGCTGGGGGTGTGTGTACTTGACCAGTGAGCTGAAAGTAGCTTTGTTCCCACGCGCATGGGACGTTCTGCGATCTTTATCTTGTAAAGAGGCAGATGGAGTCAGAAAAAAAAATCTTATTTTTATCGGCTCTTGAGGAGCGTTTTCTCCAAGGTCGGAAGCAGACAGTAGGAGGGCGAGTGTTTGGAAGCCGCTGGCGGTCAGCTGCATCAGCCCGGAGGGTGGAGGTGGGCAGCACCCCGGGCATCTCACTCTCCGAGTCTGCTTCTCTGGCTCGCCCTGCTAGCTTGGCTGTCCTTGGGTCTCTTGGCTGGAGCGATGCCTCCCGCACCAGGCCAGTGAGATGTCTGGGCGGAATAGGCTGGGGGTGCGGTTACGTCACTACGCCGAGCAGGGTGCTGCTGCCTGCAGAGTGCTGGTGGCGGGACCACCCGCCAATGATGGGAACTTCCGGTTCCTGTCTGAAGCCCCTGGCCCGCAGGCGTTCTGGGCACCTGTGGGCCTGCGGTGGGTTCCTGCCTTTCCCCGCAGCGGCGTCGGCATCCGCCTCTGCAGCTCGCCTAACGTTTTAGGAACTGTGTAGCAAATCCACCGTTAGCCAGCCAGACTTAAGCGGTCAAGGGTGAGGTGCTCATTGTGCACCACCTGGAGCTTTGCAGCACCATAGGCGGCGTGTTTGCTGGGAGGGGCCCGGCTCTGCCGGGAGCTTGTGTCGCCGAGTGACTCCTCTCCGGCATGGGCTTGTTTTCTCACCTGCACACCAGGAAAACTATATGAATTACCTCTAAACATTGCCAGGTCAAATGTTTCTACTCCAACAGAATTCAGTGAAACGGGAACTGGAGAGTATATGAACTTAATCTCTAACGTGCTCGCTGGTGTGTTCGGCAGGGATCCACACTCGGTCAGAGAAGGGAGCCCGGGGCAGGTGCCACAGCGAGCTGGGTGTGCAGAGTGACTCGGGGCGAGGGAAGGTTGCGTCTGACCTGTATTTCCACTGGCTGCCCTGAGCCAGCTTTCTGTGTGTCCCTCAGGTCCCTAGTCGGTGAGCCGCCCCGCCTGCTGCTGATGCTTCCAGCGCTGCAGCCCGTGCGTCCCAGGCGCTGGTCTAGGAAGGCACCCTGAGACATCAGTAGCGAATGTTCCCAGAGGGAATTGCTAGGGACCTGGGTTTCCTTTTTGTTAATTTTTATTTATTTATTTGAAAGGCAGAGTTACACAGAGGCAGAGAGAGAGAGGTCTTCCACCCACTGGTTCATTCCCCAAATGGTCACAATGGCTGGAGCTGTGCTGATCCAAAGTCAGGAGCCAGGAGCTTCTTCCAGGTCTCTTACACAGGTACAGGGGCCCAAGGACTTGGGCCGTCTTCTACTGCCTTCCCTGGCCATAGCAGAGAGCTGGATCAGAAGTGGAGCAGTCGGGACTCGAATAATGGGATGCCGGCACTGGAGGTGGCAGCTCTAGCCGCTACAGCACAGTGCTGGCCCCAGGAACTACTTTTTTTAATAACCTAGTAAAAGACTGTATAATTTTCTGATTTACTGGTGTGGTTTTATATATTGGATTCCTGTGTTAGAAAATTAAGAATGTTTTTGTTTGTTTAAATGTTTGTTTAAAAGACAGAAATACAGAGAAGGAAAGAGATCTTCCATCTACTGGTTCACTCCCCAAATGTCCGCAATGGCCCCTGGCTGGACCAGGTAGAAGCCGAGAGCCAGCAGCTTCTTCTGGGTCTCCCATGTGGGTGCTGGGGCCCAAAAGTTGGGCCATCTTCCACTGATTTCCTAGGTGCATCAGCAGGGAGCTGGATCAGAATTGGAGCAGCCAGGACTTGAACCAGCACCCATGTGGGATGCCAGCACTGCAGGTGGAGGCTTAACCTACCATGCCATAGCACTGGCCCTGTTTGTGTGTTTTTAAAGATGTATTTATTTTATTTTATTTTTTTAAAGATTTAGTTATTTATTTGAAAGTCAGAGTTAAATAGAAAAGCAGAGGGAGGGAGGGAGGGAGGGTCTTCCCTCCCCTGATCCACTTCCCAACTGGCCATAATGACCAGGAGCCAGGAGCTTCCTCCAGGTCTCCTGTGCAGGTGAGGGGCCCAAGGAGTTGGGCTATCCTCCACTGCTTTCCCAGGCCATAGCAGAGAGCGGGATCGAAGTGGAGCAGCTGGGACTCGAACTGGCACCCATATGGGATGCCGGCCCTGCAGGCAGCCACTTTACCTGCTCTGCCACAGCACTGGCCCTGTATTTATTTATTTTTGAAAGATTTACACAGAGATCTTCCATCCTCTGGTTTAATCCCCTGATGGCTGCAACAGCCAGCACTTGGGCCAGGTTGAAGCCAAGAGCTTCTTCCAGTCTCCCACATGGGTGGCAGGGGCCCAAGTACTTGGGGCCATCTTCTGCTTCTTTACCCAGACTGCTAGCAATGAGCTAAATTGGAAGTGGAACAGCCAGGACACGAACCAGCATGCATATGGGATATTGGTAGAGGTGGTGGCTTTACCTGCTACACCACAGCACCAGCCCTAAGAATGTTTTAATAGAAGTCGACATAAGAACTTATGGGAGCTGGCGCCGCGGCTCACTAGGCTAATCCTCTGCCTTGCGGCGCGGGCACACCGGGTTCTAGTCCCGGTTGGGGCACGGATTCTGTCCCGGTTGCCCCTCTTCCAGGCCAGCTCTCTGCTGTGGTCAGGGAGTGCAGTGGAGGATGGCCCAAGTACTTGGGCCCTGCTCCCCATGGGAGACCAGGATAAGTACCTGGCTCCTGCCATCGGATCAGCGCAGTGCGCCAGCTGCAGCGCACCAGCCGCGACGGCCATTGGAGGGTGAACCAACAGCAAAGGAAGACCTTTCTCTCTGTCTCTCTCTCTCTCTCTCTCACTGTCCACTCTGCCTGTCCAAAAAAAATAATAATAATAATAATAAAAAATAAAAAAAGAACTTATGGGGCCAGCGCTGTGGAGTAGCAGGTAAAGCCGCCCCTGCAGTGCCAGCATCCCATATGGTGAGCCCCGGCTGCTCCACTTCTGATCCAGCTCTCTGCTATGGCCTGGGAAGGCAGTGGAAGATGGCCCAAGTGCTTGGGCCTCTGCACCCTCGTGGGAGACCTGCAGGAGGCTCCTGGCTCTGGATCAGCACAGCTCCAGCCATTTAGACCATCTAGGGAGTGAACTAGTGGATAGAAGACCTCTTTCTCTGCCTCTGCCTATCTGTAACTCTGCCTTTCAAATAAATATTTTTAAAAAAGAAAAATTTGTATTTCCAGAGTTTAATTTTTGTTTTTTTTTTCAAAGATTGTTTTGCAGAGATGTTCCATCCACTGGTTCACTCCCTAAATGGCTGCAACAGCAAGGGCTGGGCCATTCCAAAGCCAGGATCTTCATCTGGGTCTCCTGCTTTGGTGGTAGGACCCAAGCAGTGGGGCCATCTTCCACAGCTTTTTCAAGCACATTAATGGGGAACTGGAGCAGAAGTGGAGCAGCCAGGACTTGAACCAGCACCTGTGGGGGGGGGGGGGGCAGCATTGCAGGCTGTAGCTTAACCCAGTGTACCACAATACCAGCCCCTAGAGTACAGTCTTAAATGTCTGTGTTAAACAAATATCCATTTTATTTTGGCAATAGGAGGGGGTCGGTGATGTTTACATACTCAGGAAAGTGAGCTGGGTACGTGTAAGGAAGATCTCAGTGGAGTAGGTGATCTGTTTGTCCCAAGCCATGGAAACTACATTAAACAGGTGCAAGCAGAAATGGAAATGAGACTGGGGGACTCGGAAGTCACCCACACGGAGGTAGCAAGACGGCAGCAGGGGCCACTGAGAGCACTTGATGGCTGCAGGACAAGCGAAAGATCCGCCTCATCTTTTTTTTAGTTTGAAAACTTAGAGGCAGAGTTAGGTCTTCCATCTGCTGGTTCCCTCCCCCAGATGACTGTGACAGACAGGGCTGGGCCAGGCTGATGCTGGGAGCCGGGAGCTCCAGCTGGGTCTCCCCTGTGGATGGCAGGGTCCCAAGCCCTTAGGCCATCCTCTGCTGTCTTTCACAGGCACATTAGCCGGGAGCTGGATCAGAAGCTGACTGGCACTCCATAGCGGATGCTGGCACTGCAGGTGGTGCCACGGGGCAGCTCCTGACTGCTCCGTCCTTAAAGGAGTAGAATACGGGGTGTTCTTGGCGGAACTCGAGTGTGTGCTTCCCTCTGTTCTAGGTAATGAAGTGATGGAATCTGTTACTTCACACCTGGAGGTAGCCCTGAGTTGTAGGAGGCGCTCCCAGGCTGAGATGCTGAGAAGGGCGGTTCTGTCGGATCCTGCTGGGAGGGTGATTAGTCGTCTACATGAGGGGACTGAAGTGTTCCAAAGGGCTGGGCCTTTGGCACAGTGGTTAAAGCCCATCATTGCACTGCCTGCTTTGAATCCCATCTCTGCCTTCAGTCACAGCTTCCTGCTGTTGCAGCCTGGGAGACCTGGCAAGTGCTTGGGTCTCTGCCACCTGCCTGGGAGCCTCACATGGAGCTCTGGGCTCCTGCTTTCTGCTGGTGTGGGCACTTGGGGAGTGACCCAGTGGATGGAGGATTCCTCCCTTCTCCTCTCTCTCCCTTTCTCTGTCACTCTGCCTTTCAAATTACTCTTTTTTAAAAAAAAAAATGAAAGAAAAATATTCACATTTTATAAAAAACTAATATATAAAAACTATAACACACACAATATGTGTTTTATAAACTCATAATTCTTTTGTACCAAAATAAACTTATCTTTTTAAAAAACTTTTTATTTTGCTTGAAGGGCATAACACACAGAGAGAGAAAGCAATTGATCTTTGACCTACTGGTTCCCTTCCCAAATACCCCCAAAAGATAGGGCTTGCCTGGGCCAGGCTGAAGCCAGAAGCCAGGATCTCCATCCTGCTCTTCCACAAGGTGGCAT